CCTGCTGAAATCTATGCTCAGTCTCACAGGCAGAGGTTCTGAGTCCTGACGGGACACCCTCTCCCTCTTCTCCCAAGCTCCCAGAACTCACTTGTGCTCCCAAGCCTGCGTGCTGTATAATAAGGAGCAGACTTCTGGGAAATCAGCTTTGGGAGGAAACACTGACCTAGTGAAGAGAGGGTCCCAACAATTAAATTGTGATTTGAGCTGGTCCCGCCTTAAGGGCAGCCGGCCGGGCTGGCCACCTTCGTGGGGTGGCCACATCTTTTGAAACCTCCATTTGTTCAGATTTGAACAGGAGGGGTTCCGGTGTCATCTAAGCCTGTCCTTCTCACCTCAGCCTAAGACATCAGATGGTCTCTATTGGGTTAACTCCGCCTTTCCTGGAGGCAGCTGGGGAAACCCGCATGCTCCTGGAACTTCACAAGTATTTGGGGATAGGCAGCAGGAGACAGGCTATGTTCCCTGAAAAGGAGCACAGAATCCCCGGGCCAGTGGCCTAAGAGCCCGTGGTACTGCCTGTGGTGACTTTGGAAGGTGTTTCCTAGGTTGCTGTTGCCAGGGATTGTACTTGCTGCTTGCGGGTTTCCTCGCCACTTGCATTACATGCCTTGTGATCACTCCATCTGCCTGCGTGAAAGCCCTGTTCTGCCATGACAGTGCACTCTCACCAATGAGGTGGCCATGACATGCCTACAGGGAGGACAGTATGGCTCACTCTCGGGGCCACGCTGTGATCACAGGCATTTGCCCCAGCACTCACACCTTGCATCCTAATGAAACTGCCTTAGAGGTGTGTGCGTGTGTGTGTGTGTGTGTGTGTGGGGGGGGTGGCCAAGGGGGAGCAGGCAGGGATGGAAAGAGGCCAGGACACGCATGCCCAGCTCAAAGCTAGACGCCAAAGCAGGAGTCTATGCCCAACTTACTTGTCTATCCCCTGTAAGAATGAGAGCAATTTAGATAATTCATTGAGTTATACGTGTGCTCGCAGCAACAAACTCATTTCCTTTTAAAAAATGAAAACAAAAGTTCTAGTGTCTGATGGGCATGCAAACCCTAGTAAGGTGACGGCTGTGGAAAGGTGGTGGGAGGGGAGCCGGGCTGCGGGGTCTGAAGAACATGTGCCGCACATTGTTGCAGAGGCCGCGGCGCGCGCGGAGGGGAGCTCTTTCTCCGCGCATTGTGGAGGGAGCAGGTGCTGTCTGCATTACCATACAGCTGAGCGCACAAAGGGCCACTGATTCAGCCCGCACAATGACAGACCGCCTTAATGACAGCCACGCGAACGACACACACCGAACTCACTTTTTACCAAGCAGAGGGAGGCCGAGAGGGAATGCCCAGGAGAGAAGCCCGAGACTCGGGGAAGGTGGAGGAGCCCAGCAATCGCGTGGGGAGGGTGTGCGTGTGCATGTCCGCGTGTGTGTCTTGGGGAGAGGGTTGGTTTACGACCTCAAGCTCTCCCAGCTCAAGGACGCAAGGCCCAAACCCCACCCCTACCCCCACCCCTAGTGGCCGCGGAAGACGCGGGAACCCTGAGCGCGCAGGCATATCGGGTGGCCGGGACGCGCCACGGGCCAACCCCGCGCGCCGGCCCGGCTCTGCGAGGCGCGTCGCTGGTCCCGGCCGGGAGGTGTACGGGACTGGGACCTCTCCAAAGTTCCCGAAACTGCCGCGGCGCTCTCGCTGCCCGCTGCTCCCCGCCGCGCCCGCCCCTTTGCCCACCGGCCACCCC